ATTTTTTGACATAGGGAAAAAGTTGGACTTCCCAAAAAAAAAAAGCTTTTTGGAGGAAAAGCACTTGAAAAAAAAATGTTTCCCAAAAAGTGGGCGTCTTTTGGGCTTTTCCAATTTAAAACCAAAACCAAAAAAAGGAATTTCTTTTTGCAAGCAAAAAAGCCAAAAAAAAAAAAGCAAGATAAACAAAGTAAAAAAAAAATCGGAAAGATTTTTCATTTTTCCAAAAAAAAACTAAACAAAAAAGAAAAAGTTAAAGAACAGAAAAGTCTTATCTGCTCTCTACAAGAACCCAGCAAGAAAGCAGAAAAAAAGAAAGAAAAACGCGCCAGCCCCTTTGTTCCCCTTTTTTGCAAAAGAAAAAAAAAAAACAGGGAAACTTGGCCCTTTTGGCGTCTTTCTAATTGTTCTTTTCCATTTAAAAAAGGCAATGGGCTTAAAAAAAAAAAAAAAAAAAAAAAACAAAAAAGGGAGGGATAATTGTTGTGGCAGGTGTTGTTTTTTGCTTGTCCTCCACCAATTCTTTGGTTTCGTAAAAAAAAAAAACTTTTGGCAAAAAGAAAACTTTGCCCCTTGCCTTTTCCTTCTTCCCTTTTTGGAAAACCATGGGGCTTCTTCACACACTTGTTTGCTTTGGAGGCTTTTTCCTTTTTGGGACTCAAAGGAAGGCGAATGCTTTTTGGCAAAAAGAAGCAAAATTTTTTGCCCACAAAAAAAAGCAATTGCCGGTTACCCACCGCAAGTGCAGTAATTCGCCAGGTGAAACCTTTTGTCTGAAAAGGGGACAAAAAGCATGAGTTTTTTGTATTATTTCCCAAGCCAAAATTTCAGGCCAAAAAAAAAAAAAAAAAAATGCTTGGGGGGTTTAAAATAAATTTCTTACAAACTCAACTTTTTTTTGGCCTCGTTCTTGCTTGAGTCTTTTTCACAGTTGCTTCAATTTTTTACCTCTGTGGATAACGGTTTTTAAAAGAAAAAAAGTTTTCATTTTTTTTTTTTAAAAACAATAACAACAAAAAGATACAACCCTTGGTCTGCTGGGGACCCACCAAAAAAAATTCCCTTAAAATTTTACTCTTTTTAAAACGTTCTGTTTTGGAAAGACCCATTTTGGCCTTTCATAATGGCAAAAAAAAGGTGGGAATTTGATTTAATTGTTGGTTGAGGGGGACTCGGTTAAAAAGTTGTGTTTTCCTGGGGTCCAAAGGATTTGGCCATTTTTTTTGGGTTTTTTCCCAAAATAAATTTTCATTTTTTTTTAACCAATTTTTCAAATATTAGGAAATAAAGGAAAAAAAAAACTTCCAAAAAAAAAAAAAATTTTTTTTTAATAATTTTGTTTTAAAATTTTACCAGGAAAAAAAAGAAAATTCTTCCTTCAAACCTTAAAAAAAAATTTTTTACGTTTTGACCCACACCAATCCAAACCCTGGGGGGATTTGGTGGGAAATTAAACACCTTTTTTGCTTTAAAGAACCAAAACCAGTAAGAAAAAAAGCGATGAAATAGCAAAAATTTGTGACACTTGGGTAGGAATTAACTAATTTTATTAGCCTTTTAAGCACACAAACGATGAATGTGCAGATGATTTCGACCATTAACAAGCTGTCCTCCCTAACTGATGATTTACCTCATATAGGTAATAATAATGAACCCTACACTGTATTTTCCCGTAGTGTTCTCTAAAGTTAATAAATGGAAATAGGCAAACCTACACCTTGTTTGGAAAGGGAAATCAACACCAGTCAGAAAGAAAGCCAATCCCTTCAATGTTTATTCAATTATAGAAAACAAATTGTATGTCTTAGTGTTCATGTTGTTACAAGTACCGTATTGATTAGTTTGCCAGGTTAGTATATCTAAAGCACACCAATGCAGTGGGACAATATGTTGAATATATCCAGACTGTGAGCATGGGATTAAGGAAAAATTCTGTGTACCCTTACCAACGGCCTCATTTGGGGAGGAACGATTCTTCTCAGAGGACAGGCTTGCATGACCCACTGTCTCCTGTGTAGACATTGTTGTTTGACGACTTGCAGAGACATTATTAAACCTAGCTTTGTCATTAACAATGTAAAATTTAGAACCACTGGGAATGATTGCTCTTTTAACATGAGTCCAATCAGGGCCATTGCTGTGAAATTGTTCAATAATTTTTGTGTTGACTAACAGTCTGTTTCCAATGTTACATTCTGTATCACGTAGAGGCTTATAAAGAGTAAAACAAACAGAAGTTCAGGACAATCTTTGCTCTCTTTTGTTTTTATTTGTTTTTGATATAAGTTTTAAAAGATTTCAGTTTTATAATAACTATTTAATTTGTAAACCCCATTTTAAATATTAATTATGAGTCGCTAGTTTGATCCGAAAATGCCACTGCAGAAAAGGAAAAGTGCCTTGGACTGGGTGCATCTATAATCAAAATTAAATATATAGATATGGTAAAACCAGGGAATTAAATATAGGTTGCCTGTGGATGGTTCTTTCCCTTCTTTGAACGATGCTTCTTTCACTTGCGATGTTGCCACCAGGATTCTTTTGTGTTATTCCAATTTGGTTGAATGGGTTACTTGAGAAAGTCCATACAGAGCTACAATCTTCATAAAAAGGATAGAGAATGTAAAGCATTTTTTGTTGCTCTGTAATTGAAATATTGAAGTCTGAACTCGGGAGTAGGGAGCAGGCAATACACTGTCTAACACATTCTGCCTAATATACTGAAATAATAAATCTGTTAGACACTTATTTTTAAGAATAATAAACTGTAATGAAGAGCAATCTGTACCAGAATATTACTTTCTTTAAAAAAATTCTTGCATATTTCACCTAAAATGTCACACTAGGGAGCACTAGATGCACCAGGTAGCTCTGGATAGACAATTGAAAAACAACTAAGATCAGCTAAAATAGATTCATCCACCACGGAAATGACAAACCATCAGAAAACAATGGCCAATTTTAAATTATACAACATAGAAGTAAACTGTGTTCTGTTGTCTACTTCACAACATTAACAGTGATTGTAGACACATGCCAAGCATGTGGTTCTGCAGTGAACGGATTATTAAAATTTCTCTTACTTTTGCTACCTTTAAGACCAACACGCCTGTTCCTTGTATTGTAAAATACTTTCCTCTGCTATTCTGATAAATTCGCTTCCGATTTCAGACCAGTTGTTATGTGAAGTCCTCCTTGATTCTAGCTCTTTCGCCTAGTGAATAGCGCAGTCTCTTTCCTTAGGGCTGCCTGCGTAGCACTTACAGATTTCTCTACTCTTAACTACCCATACCAAAACTGTAGGCCCAATTCTGCATGAGACTCCCTCTCGCTTCTGGACTGTAGAGAACAATCCTGAAACATCCTTTCGGCAAACAATCGTGCTACCTATTTTGCTCAATAAAATATTGGCACTGTGACTTTAAAGGGATATAAAGGAACAGGATCTCTAGAGATCAGGCCTGACCTGAGAACTGAAGGAGGGAGTAAGACAGATAGAGGTGCAGAGGTCCGGAGAGAAAGTGAGAGCAGGCAGGAAAGCAGCAGAGAATGAGAGAACTCAAGTGCATATGCAGTCTGTCTAAAATAGAGGGACAAACTGAAAGGGGCTCTCCCCTTCTCCATAATGCCACAGAAAACCCACACGGGAAGAGGGCTGACGATGGAGATGTGGGCCAAGGCAACAGGTATGAAAGCTTTATGATGAAAAGTGCAGGAGTACAGGATAGTAATGATTCCAAGGAAGGTTAACCAATTTCTCTGCGTGGAAGCGACGTCCCATAACTAGTAGGTGAGTAGGCAATTCCGAGGCACATAAAGAAATGGAAGGAGACAAGTACAAAGCAGTATGCAAAAGAAAGGCAATGCAAACCTGAAATGAAAGAGTGGTTGCAGAAATATTTCCCACACAAAATATCAGTGTCCTGTATACTTTGCACTTTAACTGAATACATCAATAAATAAACCTGGGTTTTGTATCGTACGTTTTCCATTTTGGTGTACAAAATTCTAAACAGCAAAGGCTACACACCATTAAGCTTTGCACTTAATGCAAAAGCTCTCAGAAATCTTCAATTAATTTTACTTCCATGTGTGCCCTGTGTTATCCACATCCAGAGTATTTGGTTAAATGTGGTACATTCGTGTGATGGAGTATTATAAGGAACTTAAATTAAACCAGGGATACTTGTGTCTATACAGATAGCTCTCAAATACATTACATAAGGCCGGGCGAGGTGGCTCACGCCTGTAATCCTAGCACTCTGGGAGGCCGAGGCGGGTGGATTGCTCGAGGTCAGGAGTTTGAAATCAAATACATTACATAGTGTTGAGAAAATGAAAAATTATAGAGGGAGACACATACAGTGTATGCTCTTTATCTAAAACTTTGGGACATGAAAACAAAGTGTATGTAATACTTAGAAAGACACACATACGTACGAACATATCTTGAGAAGGCATGAGAACGATACCTGGCTCATTCCAGGTGTTCCTTCATTCCACACAATATTTTCTAATTCTTCAAAAGGACCCTAAGGCCACAAAGTTTCAGGATCACCGTTTTAAAGACACTGTCTACCAAATAGTCATTAAGAAATGATTCACTGCTTTCCTGTTTTCATTAATCACAGATACCTGCCCCACACAGACATACAGTCTGACAATAAATAACATATAACTCCCTAAATAGCATAAGTCTAATGACAAGAAAATAAAATACCTAAGGTTAAAGCATGACTAACATGTTAGCAAAATACATCTCTAGGTAAAGACCAGAATTCCAATAAGCAATTGAAACAGTGGAAAAATCATGCAGTCTCCTAATTCACCTCCCCCAATTCCCGAACAAAGTCAGGGATTGCACACTGGGAACCTCATGGAGGCAGAAAGACCTCTAGGCCAGGACTTTGAGGTTGTAGTAAGCCCTGATTGGGCCACTGCACATCAGCCTGGGTGATAACCATAAGACCTTGTCTCTAAATAACAACAAAAATACGTACCTTGTTTGGCTGGTTGAACCCCTATTCTTCGTCCACCGATTGTCACACCGATAACATCAGGAACGAATGCACGCTCGGTGGGCTTTAAAAGAAAGTATACTGCACCTTCAATAGTGACCCCTTACAATGCATTTCAGCACTGTTTCTATGGGTTCATACCTGAGACTATGAAAACTTCACATTACTAGGAATGGAAATCAACATCATTCAGAAACATAAGCCAATCCTTAAATCTTAAGGCCAATTGCACACCACAATATGATAGCGTTTTGTACCAACACAGACTGTCTCCTTCAATCCACATCTACTATATTCTAACACCCACTTATGACAGTGGACATAATTTTGATACCATTCACTGATTTCCTGTCCTGAAATAAATTAGACGTTTGCTGGTGTACCCAAACATCTAAGGCCCCATTCTGCAAGGTACGAGTCCCTTCATAGGCACAGGCTTCCTGAGCACATCCTCTTCCTCAATGTAAACACTGAAGGGAATCAGAGACCACAAGGCTGAGGAAATGTTTAACCTAGGCATTTCTCACTGGCAATATGAAAATGTACATTTTGAAACATTGGGAATGATTTTACTCTTTTGACTTGAGTCCAACTCAATGGCCATCATTCTCAAATCGTTCACAATTTCGATCGCTTAGTACTGCGTGTCAGTTCTTGATGTTACCTTCCTTATCATAAAAAGAGGTTACAAAAATTTAAGAAAAAACAAACTTCCATAAATCCTGTGCCTCTATTCAAAGGGAAAAGATTAGCTATAAGTTACTATTCAGTTTTAGAATCTTTTGAGTATTATTACTACTTTAAAGGTATCTAATATTACATATTCAACTCACTGATTCTAAAATACTATTCCAAAAGGATAATTCCCATGTGCTGTGTCATCTCAGTCATGCAAAGAAAACAATATTAAATTTAATATAATTTTCTCATACCTGTATCGCCAGAATTTGACGTCCTTTGGGTTCTTGTTCCCCTTGCTCCGATGTTGTGTCAAAGTCTTGTTTTGCTGTCAATTCCACAGATTTAGTTAAAATTAGCTACTTAGAACAAATGCATTAAAGTTTGTGTCTTCATTAAAACAAAAAATTAAAGATTTTCATTGTATAAATTGAGAGAGTGTAAATGAAGCTTAATGTATGGTAGAATGTTTACTTGTTTTTAAAATAATCCTATTTATGTAAAACTTCAAGAAACCACTCAGGGAGGCACTAGATGTCACCAGCTACCTGGCATAAATCCACGTTAGAGATCCACTCACCAATTCATCCACCCAACGGAAATAAATAAAACCATCAGAAAGAGGCAAAATTCTAAAGCATAGCAAAAACATATATGGGAACACTATGTGCTGCTGTCTACTTCGTAACATTAACAGGACCTTTTTAACTACATGCAGCGCATGTGGTCCTCTGTAAATATTGCTTAAATTTCTCTAACTTTTTCTACCTTTATTAGCGTATACCTTGTTCCTTATATCACAAACACTTTCCTCTGCTATTCTGAAAACTTTCCTTCCAACTTTTGAGACTCAGGCTGCCACATGAAGACCTCCTTCATTCTGGCTCTTTCCCCAGATAAACAGGCATCTCCCTCCTTAGGGCTGTCTTAGGACTGTACTGAATTCTCTCCTCTAACGTCCGCACCTGAACTGGCAGTCATTTCTTTCAATGACTGACTCCTCTGCTCCTGGATTGTAGGGAATAACCATCAAAAACATCTTTGGAAAATCAATCTCTACCTATTTTGCTCAATAAATATTGGCACTGTGACTAAAGGGATATAAAGGAACATGGATTTCCCAGAGATCAGGCCTGACCTGAGACTGAAGGAGGTGAGCCTGATTAGAAGGTGCAGAGGTCGGGAGAAAGTGAGAGCAGGCCAGGAAGCAGCAGGAGAATGAGAGAAGCCTGAAAGTGCACATGCATCTGTCTAAAATACAGGAACAGCGAAAGGGGCTCTCCCCATTTCCATAATGCCACAGAAAACCCACACGGGAAGAGGGCTGACGATGGAGATGTGGGCACAAGGCAAGTTATGAAAGCTTTATATGAAAGTGGCAGGTACTAGGATAGTAATGATTCAAGGAAACGTTAATCATTTTCTCTGGGTTGGAGAGACATCCCTATAACTAGTAAGGTGAGTAGGAATTCCGGAGGCACATAAAGAAATGGAAGGAGACAAAGTACAAAGCAGTATTGCAAAAGAAAGGCAATGCAGGCCTGAAATGAAAGAGTGGTTGCAGAAATATTTCCCACACAAAATATCAATGCCCTGTATACCATGCACTTTAATTGAATACATCGATACATAAATCTAGGTTTTGTATAATATGTTTTCCATTTTGGTGTACAAAATTCTAAACAGCAAAGGCTACACACCACTTAATGCAAAAGCTCTCAGAAATCTTCAATTAATTTTACTTCCATGTGTGCCCTGTGTTATCCACATCCAGAGTATTTGGTTAAATGTGGTACATTCGTGTGATGGAGTATTATAAGGAACTTAAAATAAATTAAACCAGCGATACTTGTGTCAATACAGATAGATGTCAAAGATATCACATAACATTGAGGAAATAAAAAAGTTGCAGAAAGACACACACAGTGTATGCTATTTATATAAAATTTTAGGATATGAAAACAAAGTCTATATAATATTTAGAGCCACACATATATATATTACGATATCTTGAAAGAGCATGGGATCAATACACAGTTAATTCCAGGTGTTGCTTCATTCTACAAGATATTTTTTAACGCTTCAAAAGGACCCTAAGGCTACAATGTTTCAGGATCACCATTTTAGGTCTCTGTGTGCCAGAGAGTCATTAAGGAATGATTACTCTGATCATTTTCAATAATCACAGATACCTCCCCCACACACAGAGTCTGACCATCAGAATATATCATCTGCCTACATATCATCAGTGTAACAGCAGTAAGGTAGTATAACTAAAATTGTACCACAACTAACATGTTAACATAAAGTGTTCCTCTAGGTAAATATCAAAGTTCCAATAAGCATTTGCAACGCTGGAAAAATCATGCAGTCTCCTAGTTCACCTCTGTCAATTCCCTAACAAAGACAGGGATTGCACACTGGGAACTTAATGGAGGCAGACAGACCTCTTCACTCTTCAGTCCAGGGGTTTGAAGTTGCAGTGAGCCCTGATGGGCCACTGCCCATCAGCCTGAGTGACACATGAGACCTTGTTTCTAAATAACACCACCAAAAAAAATGTACCTGATCTGGTTGGTTGCACGTTTATTGTTCGTACACCTATTTCCGGACTAGAAACTTTCTCCATGATGGTGGCCTTTGAAACAAAGTGTATCATAAATACCATGTGTTTCCTACAATGTACATGGAATAATGCCAGATGAAAAAACTTTGTTATCACCTTCAACTTATGATGTTTCTCAGGAGACCCTGAAAAACAAAGGGGACATGCAATCAATATAAATGATTATATTAATGCAAAGATGGCAAAGCTAGTCATACAGCCATGGAGAATTAGTATAGAGCTGAATCCTGTAGCTTGGCTTCGAATGGGCTTACTTTTGGTTTGGGGTTGTTTTTTATTTTGGTGTTTTTGTTTGGTTTGGTTTGGTGCAAACAACAATATGACAGAAGTAAACTGAAGAAAAATAGGAATATAGGTTTAACACAATAGGTGGTTAAGATGTTAAGAGTGACATTATGTTTCAAGTAAAAATAACTGAAATAGGAAAGTGTGCATGTAACAATATGAACAATGATCTTTAATCAGAGGTGTGAGTCATGATCTGAGACGATAAATGACAAGGTTGTTGGGAGAGGAATACAGCATATCTTTAATGCAACACATGAGAATCATTTATACCATCATGCTGTAAGTATTTATCATATTCTCCAACTGTCCTCTCATTTAGTAAGGACACAGTAGTGATGACAGTTTAGTGTAATGTATAATCCATTTCTCATGAAAGTGTTTTAATTGATCAGCATGGATACACACTTGTAGAATAACAGTGAATAAAATTATTCATACCCGTGTGGACTGCAGGTAGGCCTACATTTCTTATATCCTCTCATTTTCCCATCTTAAAGTTTCTTTGTCCACTCATGGAAAATGTATATAAAATACATCTAAGAAATTACGTATAATCAGCTCTCAATATTGAAATATTTATCTAAAGCATAAATTCATATCGCCACATAATCATTAGATATTAGTAACCTTTTGTATTTCAAAATCAGTGTAATAGTCATTGAAAATAACAAGAAAAGTCAAAGAATAAGCTCTATAATTTTATTGTTTCTAAAATTAATTTGTGCATATCATATTAATCTCAATGATTTTTAGAAAACAGCTAGTTTATAAAAAACTTGGCTTTCTTCAGAAAACAGCCAATGCTTGTATATTAAAATTAATTCCTTTTGATTAATGAATATCAGTGCAGCACACATCTGATGCCTGACAGTTATGGAGAGGAGAAATGAGTCACTGCGGTATACTCCGCAGTTCTCGCACAGTCTTGCTTCCAGCAATCTCTGGGACAACATCTAATCATATGTGTAAATCTAACTTCTTTCTTTCCTCCCTCTTTCTCCACTCACAATCCCTCCTCCAGATCTGTGGTCACCATTCATTTCATGGATTATATCCATCACTTCTTTCCTCTTTATTTAGTAATAATATATCTATAATTTTGATTACTCCATCTCGTTGTTTTTTCCCCTCTGACTAGAAACCTGATCAGAAATAAAAGTAAAATAATCCTTTCCTTTGATCCTGCTATATTGGAACTATTCTCCAATGGCTCTTCTTCCAGATTTCTCTACAGGGAAATGTGTACCCTTGCTACTCAGCATGGTCCAGGGACCAGCAGCAGTGGCATCACCTCAGAACATATTAGAAATGAAGAATCCCAGATTTGCTGAATCAAATGACTTTTTTAGTAAAACACAGTTCTTACCTTCTGCTTGTGTATTCACTGTGTTTTTTTCTTTTTGATTGGCAGCCCCAGGTAAATGTCTAAGATCCTCTTCTGAATGATCTTCTGAGATACTCTGTTAAAATTATCAATATGAGCTTCAGTTTAAAATAATAAGTTACATCAGGATTTACCAATCACTTTCTTCAAAAATATCTGAAGTTCTTTTTGTTAAAGTAATTTCACATAAAACTAAGAGAAGCGTGTATTAAAAACCAAAAAATTGCAACAGAGAACTTCATATATGTTGTCTAGATCAAGCTCATCTTTTATCTGTGTATGGGTCTGTAAATGGAGTATAGAAGGCCAAATTTAACATATTCACAAACAAAATGTTAACTTATGTGCATATTTCACCAAGGAACTAACCTCAAAATAACTGACTCTACTTTGCACTCCCCACCAAAAATTAGAGAACATTTCTTAAAAATACAATATACTTGCTAAAAAATTTACAGCATTAAACATTTAAAATATTTCTAATTATAGAAATTTTAGGTTAAAATTTGATACTTAGCAGTATAAGAAACTTTGGAGTATGTCATGTTGAATATAAGGTGAACATTGTCAATGCTGCTTTATTTAGGTAACAAGCAGAGAAATCTCAATATATTTTGATAAAAATTTTACAGATAGAAAAGTGGTTGAATAAAATGACACAGTATTAGCAAAAACTTTTATACTGTGTTTAAATAAAAGCAGACAGATATCAGATACAGTACTCAACTCTTTCCCAATTAAAAAACAACTTCAAGAGAAACAACAGTGATCTAACACCTCTTGTATTTTCCTGGATTGAGTTTGAGCCCATTATCCGAAGTGAGGTAACACAAAATTGGAAGAATAGGCTCCACTTGTACTCACCATCAAACTGGTACTGACTAACACTATGGTGCTCACATGGTAGTAATATACTGAAGGGATGGGGGGTTGGCAGGGGGAGGGGGGTAAACTCACAACTATAGGACACGGTGAGCATTGGGGGGGCAGGGCATGCCTCTAACCCCCACTAGGGAGAAGCAATGATATAAAATATAACCAAAATGTTTGCAGCCTCCTAATACCCTGAAATAATAAGAAAGAAAGAGTAATGGCAAGCCTTAATATAAAGGGAAGAATAAGAACATTTATTTTTGAAGCATCTAAAGCATGCCAGGCAAGTATTTGCACATTTTCTTTTTTACACATCATCATAATAAAAATAAAATTGATGATCAAGATGTAAAGTTACCCCCTTTCCTGCTTCCTGGTCTTTCCAGGATGTTCAGAGTAAAATGATGAACACATGTGATCCATTGTTGTTGCTGCCCAAAATGTCCTCCTCCTAGACTTTCACATGCCTGGCTCCTTCTCCTCCTTTAGTTGGCAGCTTGAACGTCACCTTCAGAAAGAGTTTCTCTGACTTGCAGACCTCCACTCCCAAACTCTTCCCCATTCTAACTACAATCTTCCTCAGTATTCTCTATATAAGTTTATAATATTATCTGTTTTCTTTATATGAAGCACTTATAGTGAGTCAGAAATGCTCGTTTTTTGTTTTTCTGTTCCTACCATTATAGCAGAAGTCCTCCTCTCGTATATTCAGTGTTTAACAACTCAGCACATAGTTGGTATTCAATATCAAAAATTTGATCAAGGTCAAATTTTGTAAAAATTTGTAAAATGTAAAATCTCATCAGGAAGTTCTCAAGCACCAAATCACTATATTCTTATAGGAAATCTTTAGTAATACTCTGCTGAAACTCATCATATCCCAAACTAAAAATTCACATGCCCATTCTAACTTTCCTAACTTTCTCATCCTTGCCTTGACACTACTGCCTTTGGGTTTAAAAATCTACTCCCGATATTTACTAAGTCATTAAATACCACCGGGATCATTTTGTCTTACATTTGTACACATACTTTCCAGATTATAAAATGTTTTCACATTTCTTACCATATGTGTTCATTACACACACCTAAGAGGTAGATATTAGTACCAAATTTAGGAATGATGTCATAGACATTCGTAATTAAATAATTTTGGAAGGTTCGATGGAAGGTGACAGAACCAGGATAACATGTCTTTTGAGTTCCACTTGGTGCTGGTACTATTATGTAGCCACTACTTCTAAGAGGTCAGGCACTTCCTATCTCTTTCCATAGTTTTCCCTTTAGAATACATCATACTTTTATACTTATGTTACTATAAGCATGGATGCCACAAAAGTACTCAATATGCTCTATTTTAAAAAATGATTTCTACTTATTAAAACACCACTAAACCGAAGTATAGCTATTACAGTCCCACAATTCACTATTCCCCATGATTTTCCTTCTCCTAAAATGTTTGCTGCAGATCTATGCTAGACAATTAAAATATAGTAATACTTTCAAGTTCCAGGCATTATCTTTTCAAGTTCCAAGTTATAAAAAACTACAATCCAAACTGCTTCTGTCTGAATCTCATCAGGACTTTTACACTGCAATATTTACCACAGAATCAGACATTTGGCCATAGGTTGGCATGAAATAATTCTTTACTAGTTTTTAGACAAACTTAATTTCAGAAGCCAAACTGATTCCCTGTAACCTAACCCTTATTATTTTGTACTATACTACACTGGCTTCTTAAATGAATCCTGCAAAAATTAGCACAATTGTGTCATGCAGCAGTAACATTCTTAGCACATATTTATTAATTATGAGCTGAAAGTATAAGAAAACAATTCCTTATAGGCATATGCACAAGTTATAAAGTCAAAGCATCCCCCTTTATGTTTTAACATCACTAATGCTTATATTTAAAAATAATAACAGACAGTACCTCCAAATACAAACTTGGTTCATCTTCCTCTTTTCCTGATCCTGATGTGGACATTACATAAACAAAAGGTTATTCACAGATATATTAATGAGAAAATTTATTACTATGAATTTCAAAAACATATACAAGTCTATCTCCATGTGAATATTTCAAGAAAATAAAAGCCAAAAAGAATTTCAGAAGGTTGAAGCAGTTCCAGGAAGAAGAAGTTGGTAGTATAAAGACAGCAAAAGAAAACTATTTAAAAGACATAGATATTTTATGTGGGTCTACCCATTAATTGGTTTTTTCATAATAGCATTTGAGCATTGAACAATTTTCATAGATATTCCCTAACTTACCACCTGTATTATTTTTGTACACAAAGATAAAATTGTCATTACTTGTTTGCTCTGGTGGATCCCTTTCAAAAACAGAAATACCACATTCTACCATTTTTTCTTCCTCCTATTAAGAAAAAAAAAAACAACTTCAGAAAATGTATTATGCACTCATGCACCCACTCAGTCAGTGAGACAACAAACATATACTGTGTTTATCAAATCATACACATTATCCGGGGAGAATCTGAAAATAGAAATAGAAGACAGATTCAGTCCCATATTCAAGTGGAGGTAGAAACATATGAAAACAAATAAGAAAAGTATAATTCATGAGTTCTACAATTAAAGTAAATATAGTAAGCGCACAAAGGACAGAAGAGCTGGTTCTGCCTGGGAAACTCAGGAAATGCTGCAAAGATCGGGCTGTATTTTGAAAGACAGACAAGGTGTAGAGTGAGAGTGTGAAGGGTTTCCAGACAGGGAAAGTGAGTGTGAGCAAAAAGATGAGGCATAAAACCACATGGTAAATGAGGGCTACCAAAGTACTCTGGTAAAATGCAACACAGTTATAAGAAATCAGATCGAGAGACAAAATGGGAGAATCAGACCAGACCACAAAAGACATGTATCATGACAGAATGTGAACTTTCCCCTCATGTATTGGGATCCACTCAATAAGATCATTCAGAGCATCACGAATATACTTTAGAAAGGTCATGTTGGTAGCAATGTAAAGACAGATGAACATGGGAGGAGGGGGGCAAAACCAGAAAAGAACATTTCAAAGTCATAGGTCAGAAAGCAAATGATGGTAATAACGTATAAACAATGGTTTACGAGTAGAAGATATGAACTTGATGAGTGACTGCATTGGTGATTTCAGGGAGTGCTGGAGTGCAGGACTTGCTCTAATTCAATGTTTCAGTGGTATTTACTAGATGTCATTTACTGTGATGGGGAAACCAGATGAGAGAGTAGGTCACAAATAGGGAAGAGTCAGGGAAGTGGTTAAGGACAATGTCTTCAGTTTGGGATATATGAAATTTGAAGTACCCAGGGGACACAGAAGACAAATCTTGATAAATACTTTTGGAATAAAGATAGACGACATTACTTAGGAAAAGTATATGGTGTTAAAACAAGTATTTGTAAGATATACTAAACTGACAAATTAAATAATCCAAACCTATACAAAACTCTGGAATTTGGAAAACGAAAACAAGAGGAGCCAACGAACTCGTGGTAATCAGTTTTTCAAATTTTATGTTTTAACATTTTTTCAAGGATATAATATATGCTTTTACTAAATATGTAAATATTTACTTCTGATTATTATGGTAATGTGCATTTTTAAATAGAATGAAAACACTGAATTCAAAAGAACCAATTCAAGATGCTGTAAGAAAACTCCCTTTTAATAATCTTTAAAGTTTCAACTTGTAGAAGACAAATGCTTATGTGATTAGAGACTTATGAAGCATTTTTAGGTACTGCTGTGATGTACGAAAGAAATGTAAAAACCCGGTTTGAAATTCACATGGTTTTCTTATTCCCCTGTCAATAACATCCTAATAACTCAGATTGCCTATTTACACATTATAGGATGATAGCTAAAAATTGGAGAAAGGATCTAATATAAAAAAATGTTATGATTATCCAAGTTGAAGATTTAAAAGTCTTCCAGTGCATCTATGATTATCAAGCAGGACCCAATATTCACACCAGGAATAAAGAAAAGGACTAAAAAATCAAGCCAACAGGATTCCTGAGTTTTAGAGATAAAAGAATTTATGTACAAGGTTTGACAACTATGAACACAAAAGTTAATAAAGCTTCTTGGGAGTAATAAAATGTCCCCATTGGTGGAGATGTTTTTGTAAGCAAACTAAGGGATTATATGTAACCAAAATGTTTGTACCCCCATAATATTCTGAAATAAAATTTTTAAAGAAGAAATTATCTTCCAGAGATAATTTTATATACTCTGTTAGCAATCTTTCCTTCCTTATGATTCTATGATATTGTGTAGCTTATTTCAGAAAACAATCATTGGCCAGGCTCGGTGGCTCACGGCTGTAATCCTAGCACTCTGGGAGGCCAAGGCAGGTGGATCATTTGAGCTCAGGAGTTCAAGACCAGCCCAAGCAAGAGTGAGACCCCATCTCTACTAAAACAATAGAAAGAAATTAGCTGGACAGCTAAAAATATACAGAAAAAATTAGCTGGGCATGGTGGCGCATGCCTGTAGTCCCAACCACTCAGGAGGCTGGGAGGCTGAGACAGGAGGATCACTTGAGCCCAGGAGTTTGAGGATGCTGTGAGGCAGGCTGATGCCACGGCACTCTAGCTGGAGCAACAGTGTGAGACTCTGTCTCAAAAAAAAAAAAAAAAGAAAACAATCATTAATTTTGATTGCCTTCATTCAGTATGGGCATCTAAGATGAATCAGAATATCTCTAAAATAAATACTTGATTCATTTCTTTAAGAAGGGTGTAGCTTAAAATCTCTTTTCTTATTTAATGGCTATAGATTAAGAACCTCATTTACATAACCAGAAATCATAATTTTAGTTGATGAAAAAATAAATATAATGCTTATTTGTTTTCTTTTATTTTCAAAAAGTTCTGAAGCACCTACAAGATTATATCAAATAGTAAGATGAATTAGTTAAGGTGAGACTACACCAAACACTAAGTTAGAAACCTTAAACAAGAAACAGAAGAGTCAAATATTACTCATTTGTAATAAACCTGATAAGGCCTAAAACAGATTTTATGTTGCATTATCTAGGAATACAGATTGTACTACATTAAATACAAGATGTCACTTTATTAAATTTAAAAGAAAAAAGGATTAAAATATTTTTTAATTTTTTAATTGACAAATAAGGGTAGATATTTTTGAGGTCCATGTGATAAATACATTCATATCATCAAATCAGTGTTACTGGGATGTCTATCACGTTAAATATTTATCTTTCCCTTATGTTCATAATGTTTGAATTACGTGCTAGCTATTTTCCAATGTATAACAAAGAAATATTATATTCACCATTAAGTTTTCTTTCAGTTCATTAAAATCAGTTATAAATCATTTAGATGAATCTGAGCATTTTTTCATTACCTGCCTTTCCTAAGTTGCATTTAAAATAATTTCTTTCATATCTTATAACATAGAGAGATCATGCCCTCATTTAACCCCACTATTTCTGTTGTGTTTTTATAATAGTCTGTTATTCAATCTTTATATTTATCTTGCCCTTCCTCAATAAATTCTTCCCTATCATCCCCTCCTCCTCTCCATATTGGCTGGTCTGTTCTTTTCGGTTGCCTTCCAATTCTTTCCTTCCATAAGGACAAACTTCAGAATTGCTTATCTCCCCATACCTCCAGCTTTCACAGTTCTCAATGCTGTGCGTACCTCTGTCTTGTCATTACACACGTTTTCTCTTATGATCATGAGGACTTCCATTTCTTGTTAGGATCCTTGTCATCATTATGAAGATGGGGGGATGGTGTGTGAAAAAGAATGGGGATAAAGGTTTTATAAAAACAACTTACCTCTGTGGTAGGAAACTTATTTAAAGGCATGAATAAAAATCTGGGATAAGGGCGATCAAATTTAAAGGCAATTTTAGGAATGAATGGCGGGACTCTGGTTGGTCTGGAACAAAGGTCTTCAACTACATCTTCCTTTGGACTCTCTGAATTCCTGTCCTTAATGGAGTCAGTGTCGTTTGTCCTCACATTGCTATGCTGTGCTTCCACTACAGTAAAAACAAGGTAAAGAGTACATGAAAATATTTGTAATTAAGAATCAATGAATAACACAAGACTAGGCAACTTCAAATAGCTTACAGTTTTTCTTGGTCTGCTGAGAAGCAGTTGCTAGATGTTTCAAATCCAGCTTGGCGACATTCTACAAAAAAAATAATAATAATACTTTTAAGAATAATAAGTATCAAATTGATAAAAAATACTTATAATTTATATTTGCCATTACCCTATGATCCAACACAAAGAGCACAGGTGAGTAACTCAGATGTATTAATAGATTCAAACCTCATGTCTGCCATTTACTAACCTACATCTTTTCATGGGGTGAGGATTATGACAGATGATATCAATATCCTCAAAATGTAACTACCTTCACCCCTAGTTGATTATCATACAAATACTATGATATCCATTAGATTATATTCTTAACTAAAATAACCTAGAACAAAAATATATCCCAAGGTAATTTAGAGTATTACTGAAAAATCTAACATTAGGATATTGAAATTAATTCCAGGTTATACTTTCAAATGTGTTTGCATGATTTATATTTGCATGAGTTACCTTTTACAGGGGAAAATGTGAGAGGTTAGTGTTCAGTCATAACTTAATTGAATGGCTGTCACTGCAAATAGTATCAGTTGCTTCTATTCTCTTGGTCCAAAAGCTAAATAATTATATAGACTCAGCTCCTTCCAAGAAAGAGACAGAAAAACAGGATAAACCTTGTGGGGCTACGACTGATGAATGAAAGCCACACATAGCTATGAAATACAAAGATGCACCTAAATATGCTGACAATAAACACAGAGACAGACTGAAAGAACAGACTGTAAAGAAGTGTATTCTGTAAGAAAAAAATTTAGGCTGGGGTAAATCATTTTTAAAAGGTGGGGACTAAGGGAGAAATAAAAAAAGAAAGAAATGAGATATGACAAATCAATCAAGGATGAGCTTACTTCAAGGATGAAAAGGAAAATCATTAAGTACAAAAATGTATGTGGAGGAAAAATAAATAAGGTATGTGGAGAAATACAGATACATAACAGAGACTTTTATTCACAATATATTCCTAATGTTGATTAGTATTTATACTACAATTAATCTTTGTAAATACTTCTGTGATATAGAGTTTAATTTTATTACTATAAAATAAGCCATTCAATTAGTTAAACATGCTCATCTACACCGCCTGAAAGCTGTAACAGAATTACAACAGAGAGAGACCAAATGGAAAAAGATAAATGTTCCATCAATTTTCCACTTAGAGAAAGAATTGGTAATCAGAATTTTAAAGAGTAAAACTTATGGCTTGAATAAGATATATTTATGAGAACATGAAGCTAAAGAAAGTTTGAGAAATTTTAATTTAAAATACTTTTCTAGGCCTTCAGTTGGAGGATACTAGAAAATATTCAGTAATCTTCTTAGCTAGTTATGACATATTTCCAAATTGTTTTCTTCTAATTTATGACATATTTTCTCTGCATAAGTCCCTAAACAGTAAAAGGGGACATAAATTTAAGCTGCAATTATAGAAATGCAACAGATTTAATTCTTAGATCTAGTATACATATTATTTATTTATAACAGTCCATTATATAGAAATTCATTTGGTGTTCATTTATTCCTATTGAAAAATACTGAAATGATTCTGACATGTAAGACTTTATTCTAGGTACTCAACGATACACGCAAATATATTTCCTAACCTCCAGAAGCTCAGACTAATTCGGAGGCTTTAATATGATTATTTAAATAACTAAATACAAAAAACTCTGAAATTTGAAATTTAAGAATGTGATAATAAAAATTTTAAAATAAAATAAAAAATAAAAAAAGAATGTGATACAAGCTCTTTGAATGGATATTTTTTAAAACTACGATGCAAAAAAACCCTGAAATTAAAGTTTTACCATATGGCTATTAACTCTCTGCTTCTAGAACTATTTGTTACTTGGGGCAAAACATGAATTCTTCAATTAGATGAAGTGTTAAATGTACTCTTAAAGGAATGACTTAGAAAACACAGTGGAATCCCTTTGTGATACAGATGTTTAGAAAGAGAATTTAAATTTCTCTATTTCTACAATTTTTAAAAAATTAGAGATGGGGTCTTGCTATGCTGCTCAGGCTGATGTCAAACTCCCAGGCTTAAGCGATCCTCCAGCCTCAGCCTCCCAAGCAGCTGGGACAACAGGAATGTGCTACCCACCCAGCTAAATTTCCACAATTTCTAATATTATTTTAGTCTAATTACAGAACCAAAGATAGAAATAGAGAAAAATTTCTCTTGCAAAACCTCTAGGAAGTTTATAATAAGTGTGCAAGGAAAAAAAAAAAGGGGGAGACTCTGCCAAACAACTGGGGAGCTGAAAAGCACCAGGCAGATTCCATGATAATATAATAAGTAACTGGATCCATTAGAGATTTATTTAGGCAAAAGTATTATTATAAAAGTCATGTTAATTGGATTTAAAAGTCATAATAAGTATACCTATCCAAATAAACCTTAACCAAATTTTATATTTCCTCAATTGTGGAAAAGCCTTTCCTAATATAATTTTCCTGTCGCTATGCATTTTTCAGCCCATTCTCTTTTTCAGTCCCAACCCCCTCAAAGTATTTATCAGTCCTTTGTTATTTGCCAACATAAAAACTTTTTGAAACATTCCACTAGTCATATTTCTATAAAATGGTTTCCTCTGACCAACCTTCCATTACAGACATAAAATGATCATAGGTAGAACACTGCTAAACTTTAACAGTAAGTACTATACAAAACTAGATTCACCGTGAGAAAATTAATTTCACAAGAGACAACCTCACCTTGGTATAAGAATTGAAGTCTTCAATATCTGATGTATGCCATAAATCATCATCACAATCCAGAGTGTCAGAAAGCCTTTAGAGCAAAAGCATACAACAAAACTGAGTGAGTTCGTTTTTTGTTTTTTTTTTAAAAATCCATCAGTTATTATCTGGGCATTACCTCCAAAAAACAAAAATAAAAATAAAAAAATTCTGGGGAAATGTCAGCTGTCTTTATATCGATTGATATTTCTTGATATAACTAAATATGGCTTCTGTTTTTAAAAAAATATTTTAGTTATCTATTTCTACCACCATCTCTCCTGACCTACGAAATATTCAATGGAGACACCTTTAGTTCCACAACCAATAGTGACAGCCACTACACTGGCAGAGTCTGAGAATAATTTGTCTTCACAAAATATACTGAAGGCTAACTGAAAATCCAATAAAGGTCTGACATATAACTTTTGTCACCTGAACTGAAACAAACCTAATAACCTAAAACAAGATACAAAATTACAATGTCCCTTTTCCATTATCTATCTCTGATTCAAAGACTAATCTGTGTTACTCGAAATGGCAGTCTTCGTTCTTCAACACAGATAACACTTAAAAAAGCCCCACTGTTCCCTTTACCCTGAAACAGTACAGCAAGTCTCATGAACCATTTGAAATGTTTCAAAGCTATGTACAAATGTACAAATGTATATGTTGTTATCGGGAATACTCTTTCCAGAAAGAGTAAAACATTAAAAATTATAAAATCTGATTATTTTCCCTATATAAGTCCTGCCTTATTCAGGTCCACATAAATTAGCAAGCCCTTAAAAACCTTCATAGGCACTCAGATACTCAGACACTACTGGGAAAACACAGTCCCGGTAGCTGTAACTCTATTTCTCTAAGTGCTACCTAATCATCGTCCTTCCTACGGTCTATCACTTCCAGATCCCTCTTCTGCAGGACTCCATGGCAATCTCCAACCTTTAAATACTCAGCCTACAAAAGCACAGTTTCCTGAAAGGGTGGCTCAAATGATAAAAGAGTAGGAGCTCTCTGTTTCCCCGCTTCCAGAAAATAAGCTAACTGGAGTCTTAGTCATCTGCTCCCAGCACAGGCATGTTATCAACTACCCACCTGAAGATCCATGACTGATTCACCAGCCAGGGCTACCCCTGCCCTAGCCTCCAGGTGCATGGGAAGGACATCAGTGAACTGAGAAAGGAGGCAGAGGTGAGGAGACACCTGTCCTGGGCCACAGGTCTATGTAGTTCAGCAACCTCCAGCCCCCTAATACTCTAGGGACTCAAAGTCACTTCTGCGTAAGTTGGGGTACACATAGATGACATCACATTCCTATTTGCTGTAGAGACTCTTCGCAGAGGCTCAAATTCTTTTTACGTCTTTCAACAGAAACCTTCAAGTTTATCAGTCCTTCCAATTCAAAAAAACAAAAAGCAGCAACCTGTTCAGGACTCCCTTGGACCTCCCATCTGAGTTTGCCTTTCCAGATAACTCCCAACAGACCATGTCCTTCATGCCTATGATTTACTTTTATCAGACTCGGCTAAACCCCAATAGGATCTATTTCTAAAACTCTTATTCTTACCCAACCCAGTGTTATCTCTTTTAAAGCTTGGCCTTCCCCTGCTAATTGCATAAGTATCCACTTCCATTGGCATCACCAGCTACTTCCATTCTACTCCTACTCCATCGGGCTCACTAGATCACTTTCGCTTTCTATTAGTAAAACACTAACTGACAGGATGACACAAGAAGAGTACTGAGCTTTGATTTAAAGAGCCTGAGTTCCAGTCTCATTTCTGCCACCCACTATATTCAAATAAGTCACTTTAATCTCTTTGGGTTTCAGGTTCTCCATCTGAACAACCACTTCACCAGGATGTTCAATACAGGTTGAAGTACAGGAGGATATTTTGATTAGTGTCTAAGATTCCTTAAAATCCTCAAATTCTTTGTGCTTTTGATTCTGCCTATAGAAAAATTGGGGATACTTATCTGGCAGAAAAAAATAATAATAAAACAAAAGAAACACCAAGAAAAACAAAGATCATTTTAAAAAATCATGAAAAGATTAAAGTCATAGAAAAGACTCTAGAAGAAAAGAAAAACCTTCATGAAATTAGCAAAGGAACTAGCATAAAGAGAAAAACCAAACTGGGAAGTCGGCAACTAGAGAAACCAATTACAAATAGGTTTATATGTATACATTATAAATACATTGTGGGGGGATGGTCACGCTTGAAGCTCTGACTCGAGGGGTGAGGGAAGGCAATAGCAATGTATGTAACCTTAACATTTGTACCCCCTTATTATGCTGAAATAAAAAAAAAAAAGAAAGAGCATCTCAACTGACGCTAAAGGTAATTTATATAACATGGCCTATTCACAGATGTCCTTCACTTACAGTAAAATAATTCCTCTCTAGGACTTCCCTAGTCTCACTTAAACATAGAAAAAATACTAAAAGCATAAGGGGGCATGGTCACACATGACTTAGACCAAGCTACTCAGGATCATTTGAGAAGACAGGATTTTGAGACAGACCTGGTCCTGTGGCCACAGCTAAGTGAGATCTGCCCGAAATCCTTTGATGGTAAAAACAAGGTGCTCGTGACCACTGCAATTGTCAAACATATCAGTGCACACTCTTGGACTAGCCAGGCTTCTGAGGAAAACTCTAAATGAGAGTTAACATAAAACTAAACACAATCTTCCGAAGTGATCTGATTGGGACCCCGTACCTTGCTCCCAGTGCTACACACATCTCTGTCAATCTACGCTGAGAGGCCAGAGAAGGGATTTGGGAGCCAGACAGACTGATGGTCAAATCATGGATCAGCTAATTCTTAACTATAGGAACAAGGGCCATTTAATCAATCTCTCTGAACTACAGTGGCCTGATTAGAAAAAAGTAGGTTATTATAGTGCAGATACATTGCAAAGCTGTTGGGATAACTATATCAGATGATAAATGCTAAGCATATAACATGGTGTCTAGCTCAGAGTAGAATACTCAACAAATATTAGCTTTTCTTCCTCTGTATTGCCTTAGTTAACATACAATTTTTAAAAATCTGTAAAATCCTACCTGATTCCAGGATCTTCAGTAATCTCATCTATTATTTAAAAAAAAATAAAATACATTTAAATCCACAATAGAAAAATACCAAATATTAAAAGCATGGGGGCATGGTGGCACATGACTTAATCCCAGCTACTCAGGATCATTTTGAGGAGCCAGGAGTTTGAGACCAACTTGAAAAACATAGCTGGATTCTGCCTTCATTTTAAAAAAATCATGCAAGCTTTTGTTCATGATTTACACTTCGTTAAAATAAGACTCTGATGCTTTGTTACAACGTATTATTTTGGGACCATACCTGGAGACTGTACCAGAATATTAATTAAACCACTGGCAGGCAATTAGTACACTACCTTGTACTTTCCCTACTTTGCATTTATCAAATACAAGGATAAATGGGATCTATCAAAATTCAACTCCCACATGTCACCTGCTTTGTACAATAATCATGGTCCTAACCAAACCCTACCACACTGACAGAAAAAGCTATCAGTAGCAGATTCAGCATCACATGAGGACAGTGTCAACCTTAAAGAGCATGAATTCTGGACTAATGGTCTAGGAGCAGTTAGAACAGTGTATAGTAGACCCCCTTATGTGCTGTATGTGTTGAAAAAACACACTCGATGCCTTTTTCCTCTGCTCTCACATCACAAAAACAATCATCAACACAGAAGACTTATGTGAACAAATGTGTGGGGAATTTTTCCCCACCAAGAAGCCAGCAATCAATTCTGCAGTGGACACCAGCTGGGTGTCTTCTAATTCAATTCCAACACTATCCCCTTGGTGATAACATCAGATCCCACAGGTTAAGGCTCAGTCCATAATGCTGTCCCTTCCCCACACCAGAACTTCTGACCAACTGGCTTTAAGTTGGGGTTCCCACAGACTCCTCTTTGGGTTCAATGAATTTGCTAGAGTGGCTCGCAGAACTCAGGGAAACACTTCTGTTGACCAGTTTATTATAAAGGATATTATGAAGGATACAGATGGAGAGATGCCTAGGGCAAGGTATGGGGGAAGGGGTGCAGAGCTTCCATGCCCTCCCAGGGGTCACACACTCTGGGAACCTCCACATATTCAGCTATCTGGAAGCTCTCTGAACCCTGTCCCTTTGGGTTTTTATGAAAGCTTCATTACTAGCCATGACTTAAATCATTGGCCATTGGTGTTCAAACCTTCAGTCCCTCTCTCCTCTCAGGAGGTTGGGGATAGGGCTAGAAGTCCCAACTCTCTAATGCTGCCTTAGTCTTTCTGGTGACCAGACCCCCTCCTGAAGCTACCTAAGGGCTACTGGCCATCAGTCCATCATTACCACACAAAAAGACATCACTATGGAGAGTCTAAGGATATTACGAGTTGAATTCCAGGAAATGGGATCAAAGACCAAATATCACATCCTTGGTTTTGCTTTCTGTGGTTTCAGTTACCTACGGTCAACCACAGTCCAAAAATATTAAGTGGAAAACTCCAGAGCAAGACACTGTCTCAAAAAAAAAAAAAAAAATACTTACATGCAGATTTTTAACTACAAGGGGGATTGGTGCCTCTAACCCCCATGTTGTTTAAGAGTCAACAGTAATTAATATTCCTTTACTAAATGCAAAACACTTATACTACTAAATAAAAGATCCATTTTTATAGCAAGTCCAATTTATGATAATGTGACCATAGAGGAAATTTACGACATAGTAACTTAAACATCTCTTTTCTTATTCATACAAAAATATCATAGAAGACTTTAGAGATCATAAGTAATTAAGTCAATTTTTTTCAGAATATCGTTTTGGATTATAAATTACCTACAACCAACTTCTTAAGTAATTCTGAATTTGAAGCTTCTAAGAAAGAAATTAAGAAATTTAAATATTAATTTTTTAACTGCTCTTTTGTGGTCACAACCTCCTACTTTTATTATGGTAGAACCACAAACAGTAATTCTCTATTAGAAGTCTTACCTGGATTGCTATTTTGAGGATTGCTATTCATTTTTTCTTTATATTCTAAAATTTGCTGGCAAAATCTATGTATAAAAAAATAAATAAATAAAATTACTGTTTTAATATAGATATGAAAAAATTTTACTAAATATAGTAAATTCTTAGAGTACTTCAGAAAATATCACAGCTAATGTAAGAATGTTATCATATACACTTCAAATTTGTAAGATCTACAAACTTCTTTACAGCTTCTAATTAATGAAGAAAAAAAGTAAGGTGAGGTACTCATGAATTAACTGACTACATTAACTAGAGTCAGGTAGACATAATGGAAAATATCCTGAAATCGGAATAGGTTCTAGCTCCACAAACAGCTATTTGTTCATCGCCAAGTTGCTTCTCTTAGGCTCAATATTTTCTTCTAAAAGTAAAGATTTTATTGCCTTAACTAGATTCTTAACTAGGTTGTTATAAAAATTTACTGAGACATTTTTCAAATGCTCAGAGAAATGGTGATACAATGGAATACTTTCTTCCTGAACCCAATCCGTGTTTTTCCATAGGTTCTAATATTCAAATGTTGCATTTTTCAGGACATAATATGAAGTTCTAATTTTTGTTATTAGTTCTATTCTTTGTAGCTCATAATTCAGGCTATCTCAGCTATTTCATAATTTTTAACAAAATATATTTATAAATACATTATTCCATTAAATTAGATTACATTACTGTCTCCATTACTGAGACAATCAATCATACAAAGGGCAGAAAACAAACAGATGTTAAGACCTGGCTCAGACTACTATTGTCCCCTCCCTACCTGCTCAGACTCTGAACCAGCAGATCTTTGCTAGAATGATGCTTAATCTCCATGTTCATCTCCAACTGACATGGAAGATAAGATCCTACTTTTTTAAGTTCCACAAAGGAAGCTGACATTTTCTCATTTCTGAGATACGTACCAACAACATATGTGCACACAACATCCCATGTGTTGCGAAGCTCCATTCTCATTTCACAGATTACCTCACACAGATATTTTGTAAAGAATGTTACAGTTTCGATATTGAGTGCTGCCCATTGTGCTTGACTCAGTTTTGGGGGAGCCGGTCAGCAAACAGTCAAATGACCTTCCAGGGACTGTGCAAAATATGGAGCTTTTCAAGAATGTGCACGTCATATTTTCACATGAGCCATGCTAATCTACTCTGTATTGTTCCAATTTTAGGATATGTGCTGCCAAAGAGAGCACAAAGCCCTACCTACATATGTGGGTATGGATGCGTCATGGGCGAGGCTTAGCCCTGTTACATCCAACTAACCTAGTTTAGACTCAGAGGTTTCAGCTGAACGGCTTCTTTGTGAAGCAGGATTTGAAAATGTTTTAAAACCTTGAGGTAGAGAAACGAGCAGCTTGGAAGATTTTCGTTATTATGGGGAAGAGATCACCTCAGGGCCAAGGGCAAGTTGGTGCCCACTACTGAGGAAGGATGATATGGGACCATTCACGACCTCAGGAAAGGTGTCACATGGGTCATTAACAGACCGCAGGGTACAGATCTGGTAACAAAGAAGAAAGGAAACTCCGATCTTTTCCTGCAATGTTGTTTGAACCTCTCTGACAGGTTAGAACAATCTCAACTAATATTTATTTGCTTGAGAAAAGGGCTTTGAAGGATAGCTTAGGCTTAGGCTAAATTATGCTCAGCCTATGAATGCTCAGGCTAACTCTAAGCCAAAATATGGGCTCTACATCAGGTTTGAAGTGTGGGGGAAGGATCATTTTGCTCACTATGTGTGTGGCTAAAGCCAGTGGTCCCAGCTGCAGAGCAGAGTACTGGTGCTCTGGGAACAATGGCTAAGCACATGAGCATATTTATGTGAACTAAAAAAAAATGTTACTTTAAAGTCTAAGATAGATGACCATGAAGACTGAGGGTTCTGAACCAGCAAGGGGATCCTAGTACCAAAGTTCAATCATTACTAATGGCAGGATCAGTTTCCATAACAACAATGCAGCAACCAAATCAAGGGAAACAATGGAATGACTAGAAGGTCCCTTTTTCCCTACTTCTGATTTGTAAAAGAGGATCATCTTTCTTGCACTTTGGAACCCCTTACTTTCTTGATAAACTCAAGGAGGAGGGACTAGGACTGTGGCCCTCAAACCCTGGGCTGTGGACCACTACTGGTCAGTGGCCTGTTAGGAACTGAGCTGCACAGCAGGTGAGTGGTAAGCAAGTGAGGGAAGCTTCATCTGTATTTACAGCCACTCCCAACACTCACATCACCACCTGAGCTCCACCTCCTGTCAGATCAGTCACTGTCTCCCATCACCCCCAGATGGGACCATCTAGTTGCTGGAAAACAAGCTCAGGGCTCCCACTGATTCTGCATTATGGTGGGTTGTATAATTATTTCATTATACATTACAATGTAATAATAATTCTGAAATAAAGCACACAATAAATGGAATGTGCTCGAATCATCCCAAAACCCCACATGATCCACAGAAAAATTGTCATCCATGAAACTGGTCCCTGATGCCAAAAAGCCTGGGTACCGCTGGTCTGGGAGATAGCCCCCAGGGTATGGCACAAGAGTTTCTACTAAACTGGATATTTCAAGACCCAATTAACTAGAAGTATCAAGGATGTAATCTTATTTTTTATTCCACATATAGGGGTTATACTTGGAATAAAATGGACAATGTTGAGATTCCTAAGAATAAAGGTCTTAAATGTCCAGAGAAAAAGAATCCTGCACCTTGTGCTACTTCTGACTAGGTGAGCCTTTTGCTTGATTTCTGGCACATGAATTGGACTACCTAGCTGCCATTCCACCACTACCTGAAACAAACTATGAAATCTCCCCTGATGTATAAGATGCAATAGTTACAATTGTTTTAAACCTCAATTTAGTATTAACTAGTCTTTTAATGGGTACACTTACATATCAGAACCATTAGCAACAGCATGAGCTTCTGCAGTCCTTCCAAAGCAATCTTCAGCAAAGATATCAACATTTTGCTGGAGAAGAAGACTGACTGTACTTGATGATCCACAACGTACAGCAAGCATGAGTGGTGTTCTAAAATGACAGAGACATAACTTCACCCTCAGAAATGTTAACAAAGTTACTTAAACAACTGATATGATATACTTCACCAATCCACTATCATGCCTGTCTGTGCAGAATTAACCATTTATATGTACTTATAGATATAAGCATCCTGGGTGCTCAAGTGCTCATTTTTATAAATTACTACTGAGGCTAAAAGAAAGGGACAAAAGAAAGCCTCCTGTCTCACTGTCATAGTAAAAGTTGCTAATTTACAGTCCTTTAATGGGCAAGAAACTATGCTGAGATCACTTATCTAAAATAGGCCAAGATTTAAATGAAGAATTCTCCATTCTTCCCTAGTCTAAATCAAATATATTTTAATCCAAAGTCAGATAGGGGTCAGATAAGTAAAAGCTACCTGCAGCCTTAAAACAGCAATATTAGTAATAATAATTGTACTCAGAGTACTTTCAGGTATTGATGATAGGCATGTTCTAGGCACTGAATTAAATACTACATATATATTTTACACACACACATATATATTTTATATATACATATATATATAAAGTCTCACACCCAACAACTCTTGATCGACATACTATTATCCTCCTTTTCATATCAGAAAACATATTTGGTCAATAATGTTCCCAAGGTCACATACCTAGCAAGGGGGAAGCCAGGAACTGAACCTAGGCTTCTGGCACTCTAAAGCCTCTTTTCTCTGTCACCCACCTATATAGCTCATCTTCATTCAAGGAAAAGTTCATACAATTAAAGCTGTCTTTCTTTCCTCTGCCCATACCAATTAAAAATAAAAAACATCAAAATACACTAGAAGAACAAATGGAAAAAGCTGATGAATCCACAGTATCTGGTAATAGCAATTCATAGTCACTTAAGGATGACCTAATATCAATATGCTAGAAAGAAAGCAACTTAAAGCAAAGACTCACCGAGTAATCCAAAAGACAAAATCAATTGCAGCTCCTATTTGTGTGCAATATAGCATTTTTAAAGGAAAACTATCTAAAAAACAGAGGTTAGACAAATACTCTGACAGGGTGAAGTTCATATTGAGTCATAAAGCAATCTAAAAGTTAAAGTTCATACTTCATAAAACTAATATGAAACCCCTTTAGCTATTACAAGATCATATCACCAAAAAAAGATATGATGAAAAGCATCAAATTACAAACATAAGTCAATATTATAAAAGAAGATGAATCCTTCTGCACTCTTCTTTACATTGTCCAGTCCAAATCATTGATTTTATACCTAACTGAAGATTTCTGTTGATATTTTTCATTATACCCCAATAATTATAAGGTAATCTTCTTATTCACTTAATATTTCTGACTTGAGTTGACTGTTACCCTTATATAAAAACACTCTTTAAAAAAAAAAAGAACTAATTATTGTACCTTTTCAAGTCATCAACCACATTTACATCTGCTTTTTCGTTTATTAAAAATTCTGCCACTTCCATTTTTCTCTCACTCAGAGCAAGCAAAAGTGGTGTGAATTGATCCTGGAATACAGCAAAAACAATTACTAACTTGACAAAATTAAATATTTCTCAACTTAAGTGAAAACCTTACATAAGATCTTAAGAATGTACATATAACACAGAAAGTGAATAAAAAGTGGCCCCTTCCTTCTCAACCCTCTGTGCTTTCCCATGTGCTGCTCCTTCCCTTGGAAACACGCCTCCTCTGCCTCAACATGTTAACTCTGGTCATCTCCGAAACTCAGTTTACACATTTGCTGCTTCCGAGAATGTTTGCTTCCGTCACATCATTTATCGCGGTATATTGTAATGATTTTATTGTTTCTCATCTAAAAAGAGCTTCTTGTGGGCAGCGACAGGATCTATTATCTCTACATCCCCAGACCCTAAGATACAATAGTAAACATTTGCAGTATTTTTATTGAGTTAATGATCTAAATTATTACCTTTAGAGCAGTGTTTCCTAAACTATATTCCAAAGAATATTTGTCTTATAAGTAATGTACCCCAACAGAAAGTTTACATGATCATCTATTTGTGAGAAATATTACACAATAGTGCACTATATGTGTCTAGTCTGAAAGCAATCTTTTGACTTTTTTTTTTTTTTTTTTTTTGAGACAGAGTCTCGCTTTGTTGCCCAGGCTAGTGTGAGTGCCGTGGCGTCAGCCTAGCTTACAGCAACCTCAAACTCCTGGGCTCGAGCGATCCTTCTGTCTCAGCCTCCCGAGTAGCTGGGACTACAGGCATGCGCCACCATGCCCGGCTAATTTTTTATATATATATCAGTTGGCCAATTAGTTTCTTTCTATTTATAGTAGAGACAGGGTCTCGCTCTTGCTCAGGCTGGTTTTGAACTCCTGACCTTGAGCAATCCGCCTGCCTCGGCCTCCCAGAGAGCTAGGATTACAGGCGTGAGCCACCGCACCTGGCCTGAAAGCAATCTTTTGAATTTGCCTAATCCTTCTTTGACAATACATTTTTGTATGTGGCAAACATTAACATTTGAGAAATTAGAGATTCAGAGATACAGGTTTGAAAGAGATACACAGAGATACAGGTGATGCCAACTCACTTGACTCTCTTCTATCAATAGTGACAAGATCCCAGATGCCAATGTCTGCCACTCCTGTTCAAGTGGGTCAATAAGGAAATGGGCTCTGAATTAAAAGAGACAGGCTTTAAATGAACTTTGATTGCTTATTATTAAATGGTCCATGGGATTTCTCCTATTACAAGATCACAGATTTTTATCTCAGTTGTTAAAAAACTCAGAATGAAATTTTATTCTCAATGATAATGGTAATCCTGGGACACTAATGCATATCTACATTTTTAATCCATTTCTATTCTGGTTTCCCTTTTAATTGTTACTTAAAACTATTTTTTATTTTAGGCAAAATATGAATCAGAAATAGAAATATAATAGTTTCTTAATAAAAGTTCTACTACTGACCTATATGAATTATTTCTAGCATAAGGCACTAAATAAATCACTTGCATTTTTAAGAGACGATGCTGAATATAACGTCATCTGCAATGTGCATAACCAATCCATCCATAACCATGATTAACCTAAAAAGGCTTATAGGCATTCTAATAGGAAGATGATTATTTATGATATATATTAAGAAAAAATAGTTTTTACAAAGCCACCTTCTGAATTCTAAGATTTAACTCCATTACTAAGATATTAATATAAAATATAGACTATATACTATAAATAAAGATAAACTGTCTGGAAAAACTTGAAACCTTTACCAGTATACATATAAAACAGTAGTCATAAACTCAAATACTTACAGAGGCAAGGTAGGTGACCTAAGTATAGGACTAGATGGGCACAGTACCAAACAGGACAATCTATGCCTCATATAAAGGGGCAACCTCTGCACAGCATACCAAACAGCAAGATGGGCTCAAGGGACACCTAGACATTCCCGAAGAGATGCCTGACACCAGATTTGATTCTTTAAGAGAAGCCTGAAATCCAGAATTCTGCATGTCTCCTAAATTTTACATGTTGACTCAATTTATGGAAGCATGCTAAACCTCACTTAGAATACACACCTTGTGCTTTTATATTTGTTATACACGTGTTTCCAAATGGTTGTGAATAAAGCAAGTATTTGCATGAAAAATCTTTCCTTTCTTTCATAGCATATGTTTTAATAAAATAATCAGGCACCAACATGGAATAAAAATTGCTACTAAGACTTACAATACCCACTTCAAAAGTTTTTCCAACATTTATTCAGTTATCGACTATTTATATTTAATTCTCCCAGATTCTTAACCAAATGGATAACTAGTTCATAAGAAATGCTTAAATAGAATTATTAAAAGAATTCCTATTGTATTCTTACTTACGTTCATGGGTTTCTGTGTTTAAAACTGCCATCCTGACTATGCTGAAGCTCTATGATCTTAACAGACATACTGAGATAGTTCATTATACAGCTTCAACTGAAAAAAGTTTAGGACTTGCTACTATTCTAATTGAGAAAACCCTACTTGTAATAAACATGTGTTGACCTATCACCTGAATGATAACAAAGAGACAGGAACTTCTGAAAGGGTCAGCCTTTACATATTCAAAGACTACCCATAAGTAAATTTCTAAAGACCCACTCAATGGTAGTGAATGGTTGAGAGAGAAAAGATGTTATTCTGTAAACTGATAGATACAGTCAACGATACTCCTTTTAACTTCTCAACCACAGAGATGGAGAAATACAGATAAAAGTCAAGCTAGTATTGTTAGAAAGCAGAGATTTGAAGGAAGTAGCACCTATCAAACTCCAACTCTTCCAGAAATTTCTTAAGTGTTTGAGATATGGGAATTCATGTATTACACTTAACTGTTCAGTGATTCTTAACCAGGAGTGGGATCAGAATCTCAAGGAAACTTTGTTGTTAGAGACAGGGTCTTGCTATGTTGCCCAGGCTGGACTCAGGAACTCCTGGGCTCAAGTGATCTTCCCACCTCAGCCTCCCAGTTAGCTTGGACTATAAGCACATGCCACTGTGCCTGGTTTCAAGGAAATATTTTTAAATATACATGTCCAGACCTTATTATATTTACTAAATCAAAATCTTCAGGCAAAGCCTAGACTTGCAAGTTATTTTAGTTTCCCCAGGTCACCGTGTTGCACAACTCTAGCTAAGAACTAATGCAGTAGACAATGGCTTTAGTCTCATCTCTCGCCCACATGGCCAATTCCTGTTATCATTTGGGGATTTAGCCAAAAAGAGGAAAGAGCAAGAGGTAGAGTCATTTACTGAAGATTCCATTTAATGTTCCTGGGTAGGGAGAGAACAGGGACTAGTAAACTCAAAATACAACTTGGTTTTGCTACTTCTCCAACCTTCCCATCAAGACATTCTAGCTTCTGAGAGCAGAGCTTAGACTCTTATCTAAGTGGCTGTTTCTGCCACAATAGGATAATCAGCCAGTGAATCATTTGTCCCTCCCTCTTCTTGCCCACTTCATTACCACCTACTCATCACCAATCTGCTTTCCTCAGAGATCTCCTACAACTGATTCCTGGGCAGGATGACCACCAACGCTCTCCACCTGAGAATTATCATCCCCACAGCTGAAGAGCGCCTGGTCTAAACATAAAAACTAAGGGGAAAAACATGCAAAAAAACTTCTTGGTATTTTCCCTGACTTATGTAATTTTCAAATTGGCCTGCATTTATTTCTGGTAGCTCTCCTTTTCCCTTTCCAGTTTTCCCTCTTTAGGCTTGCCACAGAGAGGTAAATCATGTTCACAGAAATTACTTTTTTAGGAACTTCTCAACAATAGCAAGATTTCCGTGTCTATGAAATGCATTTCTTTTGTTAGAATTTTATGATAGACCCCATTTCCAGGGTAAATTTGCATTTGTTTTGCCATGTTGTTGTACACTAACTAGGAAAAAAAAAAAATTGGGTGGTAAAAGAATTTGAAAAAAAAAATTTACCTTTAGTGTTATCACAAATATTTACCATAAATGCATAAAAGAATCTGTACCCTCTAATGCTTCTTTAAAAGTATCAATATTTCAAGTAAAACCTTAGTTATTTCAAAACATTTTCATTGAGGGAATGCTTGAACTTCCAAATATAGAAAATTGACCCTTACATATGTCAATGTTAAAACAAAGGCATTTCCAAAATTTTGAAAATAAAGTTGGTTGCTCTATACCTTGTTTGCTGTTTCCATACTCGCACCATGAGAACGTAGTGTTGCTGCTATTGACAAATCACCATTAAACGCAGCATAGTGGAGAGCACTGTTGCCGTAGATATCCACGACATTGGGATCAGCACCATGTTCTAAAAGCACAGTTACATGATCCTGTGCCTGGCACTGCACGGCCTGTCAGTATTAGACCAAGAAATAGATTGTAAATTCTAGGAATTCAATATAAACATTTCACAGGTTTCACTTATTTAAATGAGATCAATTTATTTTTATTCTATGGGTTTAAAGAAAACTCATCTCATGCTGAAATAGTTGGCAGCTATATACCTTCATCAGAGGTGTCCTGCTTTCGCCATCACAGGGGTTAAGCTCACATTTCTGGCCCAGCAGGAAAGTGACCACCTGTGCATCTTTGTTGGCACAGGCCAAATGGAGAGCAGTCCTATGAAAGTGAGAGGACTTTTTAGAAAATTACAGTTTACTATCTCAAAACATATTCATGTAATTGTAAACATTAAATCACATGGTACTCCATCTGTTTTCAAAACAAATCTTTAACTTTCTTGTAAAGATAGGACAATATTTATTAGTTCTTAGTACTCACTGCATTAATGAAAGAGCAGCCTATTGGAATAGGCAAAGACACTGGCCTTCAGATTCAGTTAAACTTGGGTTTGAATCCTCCTTTAAGATGTCTCTAGGCCAAGCGCGGTGACTCGCGCCTGTAATCCTAGCACTCTGAGAGGCCGAGGCAGGTGGATTGCTCAAGGTCAGGAGTTGGAAACCAGCCTGAACAAGAGCGAGACCCTGTGTCTACTATAAATAGAAAGAAATTAATTGGCCAACTAATATATATAGAAAAAATTAGCCGGGCATGGTGGCGCATGCCTGTTTTATGTTCCCAGCTACTCGGGAGCTGAGGCAGGAGATAGTTGAGCCAGGAATGAGGTTGCTGTGAGCGGGTGACGCCACGGCACTCACTCTAGCCTGAGCAACAGAGTGAGACTCTGACTCAAAAAAAAAAAAAAAAGTGTCACTTACTAGCCTGGACTTTGATTTTCTGTGCCTCAATTTCCTCACCAATAAAATGGAAATGAGATTGGTAGGTACACCTCACAGGATACCACTGTCATGCTTATGTGAGAAACTATGCTAAGTAGTTACTAGTACACATAACAGCTCAATAATTGTTAAGATATTACAATGATTACTATGACTACTACCTAACAATGATGACATTTTGATTAAGTAAAATGACACAAGAATATCTACCTTGTGGCAAATTTTAAAGATTAGAGATACAACTGTATTTCCATGATTCTAAGGCGCTCATCGTTTTCACATTTTAACACCTCCGACATGGGAACAGCCACCTGCAATTCCATGACTGGCTGCAACGATAACTGGCAGCATTTTAAAAAGCATCTTATTGATCCCTAAGATAATGGGCCATCGCACAATCCATGATGACTCACATTAAACGAAATCAGGTATGTGCAACGGGTCTCTCTGGCAGTTCTTTTCATAGGATTGGCATTTAAAGAAATTTTAAGTTTTTAAAAGTACTATTAAAAAAAGAGAGAGAGAGAGAGCTGAAATAACAGCAGCAATGCATTTTTTTAAACAAAGCTAATTCTCACTTTGATTTTCAAATGAAGTGTTGCTTTGGTTAAGCTTCTCACAAAGGCGGCCTGGGAGCGGGACCCCTCCAGGGTTTCCACCTGGGGTGACAGGAGCCCGGGAATGGGGGGTCTCTCCCGCACGCCCCCCGAGCCCGCCCCCGGGCCCCGGCTGCCGGTTCCTGTCACCTGTCCTTCTTGTCTCTCTTGTTCAGCACCGTTTTGTCATAGTAAAACAACTTCCGCGCCTCCTCGAATTCGCCCCGGTGGACAGCTCTGTGGAACTTCCCCAGGTGCTTCGACCGGACGACGTATCCCGGGGGTGAGAAGACGCTGCCGCCCTTCTCCGGCCGCGGGCGGGTCGCCCTCGAAGGGGCGATGCGGGTGAACCCCAACTTGCTGCTCAGGCCCGAAACCTTCTTCCGGGCGGAGCCTTCCGGGTCCGTAGACATCTCGGCTCCTCCTCACTTTCTCTCCGCCTCGGTCGCCCGAGGCTAGCAAGCCAACCCAGTCTGGGCGGGACCTGCGAGGAGCAAGCTCTGCGCCTCCCCGCCGGGCAGCCCAGGGAAGGCAACGCCAACGGCGCGAGCGCTCGCTCGCGCGGGCTCACCTCAGCCAGCGTCGTCGCTGCGCGCGCGCACGAACACCCACGCACCTCAGCTAACGGATTCCCTCACGCCTTTGGCTTTGCAGGCAGGTGGCGGCGTCGCTGCGCGTGCGCACCAACACCCACGCGCCTCAGCTAACGAATTCTCTCGAGCCATTGGCCTTGCCGGCAGGCGGCGTCATCGCTGCGCATGCGCACAAACACCCACGAGCCTCAGCTAACGAATTCTCTCGAGCCATTGGCCTTGCCAGCAGGCGGCGGCGTCGCTGCGCGTGCGCACAAAGACCCACGCGCGGCGGCTAACGAATTCTCTCCTGTCTTGCCAGCAGGCGGCGGCCCTGCGCGTGCGCACAAAGAGCCATGCGCGGCCGCGAACGCATTCTCTGGCATTGCCAGCAGGTGGAGGCATCGCTGCGCATGCGCACAAAGACCCACGTGCCGCGGCTGTCGCGTCCTCTTGCGCAGGTGGCAGTGGGAGCAGGCGGCGGCTGCCGCGCGGGCTTGCCCGGCTCTCCGCTGGCTGCGTCGGGGTCCCCGCGCGCCGCCCGCCAGGCTGGAGACGGCAGCCACAGAGCATGCGCGGAGGGTTGCGGCGAGGCCGCGTCTGCTCCACGCTCGCCCCGTTTGCACCGCGAGCAGCGGCCCGTCGCGCCCGCCCCTCGCGTGACCACGTGCAGCGCGGGGTCCGCGGGTGCGGGGGGCCCCCCGCGCAGGGCCCATCGATGCCCTGTGGCCGCCGGGTGCCCTGTGTCGCCGCCCCCACGCTCCAGCTGCAGGCCAGGAGGAGCCGGCCCGGGCCGGACCGCTGGGCGACTCTGAGGACCGCAGCAACCAGCCCCGGCAGCTTCCTGGCACTGTGCGGGGTCCGGGCTGCCCCGTCAAAGGAGATGGCGGTGGTTTCGGCCACCTTGGTGCCCACCTATAGTCCCAGCTACTCGGGAGGCTGCGGCAGGAGGATCGCTTGAGCCCAGGAGTTGGAGGCTGCTGTGAGCTATGATGCACTCTGGCCTGGGTGACAGAGTTAGACTCTGTCTCAAAAAAAATAATGAATCTTTCCCTTTGCCCCAGCCTCCCAGGGCTCGGAGCAGGTGCAGGTGGGGCCGCTGAGGGGTACAGAGACAGCTGCTACGAGGGTCCTGGCCCCCAGGTGCTTCGCGGGGACCATCGTGGATTACGGGGACAGGAGAGGGCACACTGAGGACATAAACAGGGCCAGGGGTCAGCAGCGACCTCCAGGGGACACGGGCAGTTAGCAGAAGCCAGACCCAGCTTGGGGACCAGGAGAGCCAGGTGTGAGTCCCCCCAATGTCCCCCCACAGCCACCCGTCAACCTCCCTGAGCCTCTGTGTCTCCCCCACACACACACAATGACACATAGACGGAGCAGGACCAGCGACAGCTGCCTGTGGGTGAGGACGGTCAGCTGGTGGCACTTCTTGCCTGGCCAGGTGCTGAATACGTAGCATTCCTGCGCACAGTCCCACCCGCGGCCTCCCTGGTCTCTTCTGCGATGCGGGCTCCTAGCTCTTCCACGTCATCGGGAATGCCCCAGCCCCGGGGCCTTTGCACGGCTTTTCCTGCCTGGAACACGCCTCCCCGCACATTCTCATGGCTGCTCCCTCCCTCCTTCAAGTTTTTCCTGAAATGTCACCTCCTCTGCAAGTCCCTCCATGAGAGCCCTCCTTACTTTGGAAACTGCCATCACCCACCCCCCTCCTCGGCTAGCCTGCTTCATGGTCCCATTCCTAACGTTTTCCATAATGTTCCTCTTTATCACGTTCCTAGTTCCCTCTTCCACTAGAATCTCAGCCCAAGGGACCGAGGTTTTGGTCTGGCGTGTTCACACCTGCATCCTCCAGAGCCTAGAATGGCATCTGGCACGCAGCGTTTGTTGAGTGAATGCATGACTGTCAAATCTGTAAAAAGGGCCGAGTGCGGTGGCTCACGCCTGTAATCCAAGCACTCTGGGAGGCTGAGGCAGGAGGATCCCTTGAGGTCAAGAGTTCAAGACTAGCCTGAGCAAGACCAAGACCCCATCTGTACTAAAAATAGAAAAAACAATTAGCCAGGCAACTAAAACTAGAAAAAATTAGCCAGGTGTGGTGGCACACCTATAGGCTCAGCTTCTGGGGAGGCTGAGGCAGGAGGATCGCTTGAGCCCAGGAATTTGAGGTTGCAGTGAGCTAGGCTGACACCACTGTACTCCAGCCTGGGCAACAGAGTGAGACTCCATCTCAAAAATAAATAAAAATATGTTTTTGGCTGGGTGCGGTGGCTCACGCCTGTAATCCTAGCACTCTGGGAGGCCAAGGTGGGAGGATCGCTCAAGGTCAGGAGTTCGAAACCAGCCTGAGCAAGAGCGAGACCCCGTCTCTACTAAAAATAGAAAGAAATTAATTGGCGAACTAAAAATACATAGAAAAAATTAGGTAGGCATGGTGGTGCACTCTACGCTGGGCAACAGAGTGACACTCTGTCTCAAAAATATGTGTATATATATATATATATATAAATAATTTTTTTTAATCTGTAAAAGGAAGAGAGAAATACCTACCTCATCTCAGGGCTGTGGAAAGATTAGCTGGAGGGTAATCTGTGAGCCCCACAGAAGTAGTCAGGACAGCCGAGATGCCCAGGGTGCGGCTGGGGACACCACCTTGACCTATTCAGTTTTTTTGGTTTCTTTTATTGAGGTGAAATTCACATAAAATAAAATGACCCCCTTTAAAGTGAATAATTCTTCCATGAAGAGGGAAGTGTGTAAAAAAACAATAATAAAAGTGAAACGAATAACTGAGCAGCACTCGGTACAGTCCCGGTGTTGTGCAAGCAGCATCTGCATCTGGTTCTAGTAATATTTTTATCACCCCGAAAGGAAACCCCAGAACCCTGCAGTCACCCCCGGCCCTGGCCCGGGCGACGGCTCCTCTGCTCTCTGTGTGCATGCATCTGCCTATTCTGGACTCGTCGTGGGCGTGGAAGGGGACAGCGTGTGACCAGAGTGTCGTTCCTTTTTACGGACGAATTAAAAAGTTGCTGTCTGTGGCAATCTCGAACTGCACCTGCTGCGGACACCGGTGCACGAGCGCCTCGGTCCCTGCTCCCGGGTCCTGAGGGCGTGCGTGCCGAGGGGTAGAGGGACCGGGCCGGGTGACTCCACGTCCACCTTTTTGGAAGCCATCTGAGCCGCTTCCCACCCCGGTAGAGGGAGACCCGGCCGGGAGCAGGTGCTCCGGGGGAGCGGGTGGGTCTGCGCTCGCCATGTCCCTGGCCCTCGGAACACGTCGCTTCTCTCTGGGACTGGCCGTGCGGGGCCTTATTCCCAAGGACCCAGAACGCCCATGACAGAGGAGGCCCCGATGGGGAAACTGAGGCTTGGGGCGAGGTGGCCCCGGGCACCCAGCCTAAGCCCCTTCTCCCCTGCAGGTGGCGGGAAGGATTCTAGGACGCCCCGAGTGCGGGGGGGCCCCGACCCCACAAGGAAGCCTGAGCCCCCCACCCCCGACCCAGCATGGGCCCATGCACCCTGCAGTACCCAGAAGCCTTTGCAAAATGGGGAAGAAACTGAGAGCCGCAAGAAAGTGACAGAAAGGCTACCAAGTGTCACACACTGTTCCCAGCTCAGGCAGGACCGCAGAGCTTCCTGTGGTGGCTGCCAGTTCCCCACCCCCACTGCCTCCCCCAGCTGTTCTCCTTCCCCAGCTGGCCTCCCCACCCTGCTCCTCCTCATTCTCTCTCCTCCACTTCCTCCCGGTGCTTCTCCTTAAAACCTTTACACATTTTTAAATTATTTAATTTTTTTATGGAACCTCAGGTTAATAGAATCAGTGAAACTATGTAATTCTTGGGACCAACAGTTTATTTTATTTCACTGATTTTCTTTTAATGACAGCGAAGGCTGATTTTCTGCCCACCAACAGAACGATCCCACCCTGGGAAGACGGGCCAGGTGACAACCCACGCCATTGTGAATGCTACCAAAATTATTCATCTTTCTTTTTTTTTTCTGTTTTAGAGACAGGGTCTGGCTCTGTCACCCAGGCTGCCTCAATGCAACCTAGCTCAAGGCTATGCAGCCTCGAACTCCTGGGCTCAAGTCATCCTCCCATCTCAGCCTCCCAAGTTAACGTAGACTATAGGTGAACGCCACCATGCCTAATTTTTAAATTTTTTTTTTGTAAAGATGGGATGTCGCCATGTGTTGGTCAGGCAGGTCTCCAACTCCTGGCCTCTAGTGATCCTTCTGCCTCAGCCTCCCAAAGCACTGGGATTTGAGCCACCCTCGCCTGGATGTTTCATTGAATTTTTTTAAAAGTTTTCATCCATACGTTTGTATGCCGAAATCAACTCTTGTTTCATTTTCTTTGCGTCTGAGCTTTTTGGTGAACATGGAGCTTTGGGGATATTTTGTTTCTCAAGGTGCTACTATGAAACTGTCACACTGAAAAATGAAGAATTTTTTTTCCTCCACTTGCTTCAATATTTTTAAATTAAGGAAAGAATGTGTTACGGGGACGCAGCCATCTCCTTGCACGGCCCTGAAGCTCATTTTCAAGGCTGTGTAATATTCCAGCCCGTCACGCGCTTGCTGCTGAGGGACCCCCAGGTTGTGTTCGGGTCCCGGTGGCCACCCTGCTCCCGCGCTGCCTTAAGGAATCAGTGACGTCACCGTTTCAAGCAACTTGCCTCTCAGATCCTCCGTAACACCCCAAATCTTAGCGACGGCCGGGAGGGGACAAGATAGGGGGACAATTTGGGGTCCAGCTGCCTGGGAAATCCCCTCCCCCATCCTCTACCCCCTGCCGGGCTGTCCACCCCGTCCACCCCACGTCACTGCCCCCCGCCGTGAGCTCAGCACTCCACCTGTGGGAAGGGGAAGTGGGTTGCAAGGTGCTAAGAGTTTGTTTGGGGTTCAGGGTATCCCCACAGCTTCCGGAAGGGCCTCGTTTCTTAGAAGCTGAGAACATCGAGGTGGCAGCTCGACCCCACTTTTCTCACCCTCGTGGGGCTCGGGGTGAAAGGAAGAGGAACCAGGTGCCAGGACCCCTCCCCCTCCCCCTCCTGCCTCTCCTTCCTCTCTCCCTCCTCCTCTCCTCTCCTCTCCTCCCCCAGAGCCAGGACGGGCCGGCTACCTGGTCCTTTGGGGCCTTACAGCCTCCTGCCTTTCTTCGCTCCTTGTGTTTGGGGTCCTCCTCCGCACCCCCATACTGCCCCAGACCCCTGCAGCCCCAGCCCCAGGAGGCCGAGAGGCCTGGGCGGTCTAAGGATGGGGAGAGGAGGAGCTCTGTGACTTCACGGAAGTCATTTCACTACCCTGTGCCTCAGTTTCCCCACCTGTCAATTGGAAATTGACACAGCCCCTGCCTGCTGGAACTATTGGGAGGATAAGTGAGTTCAATCCCCGGGAAGTGCTTAAGAAGAGGGCTAGGTACACAGTAGGCGCCAGATGAACGCTGTCATCCACCATCATGATTTTGCTATCGTTGCAGCTGTAATAATAATAACGATAAATTATATTAATATAATACAATTAATAAGACCCTTGGTATTATCGGCTGGATAATCCCTGGCTCAGCCACTTCCCAGCGGGGAAACCTCAGGCCAGTGGCCCCACGCCCCTCACCCCAGGTGCCGGCTCCCTTCTGACAAATGGGGGCCGTCCCTGCCTGCTGTCCTTCAGAACAAAGTCACAAGCTGTCCAGGGGCTGCGTGTAGGTCACTGGGGCTGGAAGTTCTTCAGGACGGAGGGAAGGAGGAGGGACGTGAGACGCCCCAGAAGGGCTGGGTCGGGAAGCCTGAAGGAGGTCCCCTCCGCGGGGAGAAGGGCGGAATGAAGGATGTCACTAAGGCACGTGACTAACCACGACGGAGCCCCCGCTCGGCGCAGGCTCTGGGCCGGGCTGGATGAGACAGACAAAGTGCTCGGGAGGAACCCGGCGTTTCCTCGGGTGTAAGAGCTTTTCAGGCAGTGGCAGCAGCCTGTGCAAAGGCCCTGTGGTCGGCCCACGCCAGGGTGTTTTCCACAAGGAAACAGGAGCTGTGTGGGGGGAGGGAGGGGAAGAGAAGAGAGAGAGGACAGGGGTGACAGGGTAGAATGTGCCTTCGGGATCACCCAGAGCAACTGGGGTTTTGCTCCGAGTGAGGCGGGAGCCGTAGAGGGTTCTTGAGCAGAGCAGGGGCGTGCTCTGGCTCAGGCGTGTGCAGGGCCACAGACCATGTGGGGCGGGGGCGGGACACCAGGTCGGGACGTGAGGGAGCTGGACCAGGGTGGCGCCCGGTGGCGGGGGGACGGGCAGAAGCGACAGGATTCCGTCCTGTTGGAAGGCAAGGGCCTTGCCAACTGGCTAGATGCGGGGGCGGTGGCCATGGCGAGGCTGTCCCTCCTCGCTCCTTCCCCAGGCGGCAGCAAACACCGGGAAGCCTTTTCTTTTCGCTCTCGTGACCCTGCTCCTTCCTCGCCCTGTCCCGGGAGGCCGGCGGGTCAGGCATCTTCGTCCCCATTTCACAGACAGGGAAACTGAGTCCCAGGGAGGCTGCACCTGCTGCAAGGGTCCTCCTGGGGGAGCGGAAGGCAAGAGAGTCGCCGGTCACCATGGAGGGGTCAGGGACAACATGAGGGACATCTGGGGCACCCCCCCACCCACCCCCCCATGAGGTTCTCCAGACACAGCTCTCTGGCCCTTGGCTCCGCGGCCACCCTCCCAACCCCCCCGTTGTCCCCACCCCCCCAGCGCCCCCGCACCCGGCAGGGGGTGGCCGCTCCATCGTTTGCCGGCGGAGGAAGGAGTAAATCCTGGGTGGGGTGGGGTGGCGGGTGGGGGCCTCCCCGAGGACAAAAGCTGTTTTTTGGACCCTGGCCACTGCCGACTGTTTCCCATACTGCCCGTCTCCCCTTCAGCGGATACGCACTCATTCCCTCTCAGCGCCACCGACCTTTGCACCGTCAATCCATTCTCGCGACAAAGAATGCGACTGGGTGTACAGCATCCCCTCGAGAAGTGCTCTGTCCGTCTCTCCTTCGGGATAGTAAGGAAGACCTTAAACTCATTATATAAGGGATGCGAATGGTATTCTCTCATGTCGTATGTGCTTTGGTTTCGGGCTGGCACTATGCGTCGGCTGGAAAAGCTTCAGGGTCGACGGCGTTAAAGGCCCGTTCCGCGTCGCCCAGCGGACGCTCTCCTTCGCGGTCGGTGGGAGAGTCGCATGGGTGTGCTCGCCCGCGGACCTCGGCTGGGCCCCTCGTTGGCTGTGCCAGGCCCTCGTGCCTCGGGTTTCCTCCTCTGTAATATTGGGAACTCTTTAATAATGGTGCTGCAGATGTTTTAGGAGTTGTAAATGAGTTTAAATAGAGGCTTTTTTCCTTTTGTTTTTTCGAGGACAGAGGTCTCTGTCCATTGCCGCCTGATAGAGTGCTGTGGCTTGGCCTCCACAGCAACTCAAATCCTGGCGTCCAAGCAATGCGTGTCCTGCGCGTGCTCAGTGTTCGTTCCCAACGAAGTGGGGACCATAGCAGTGCACTTCCACACACATACCCGGCTACATTTTTCTATTTTAATAGAGATGGTGGGTCATTGCTCTTCGCTCAGGCTGGTCTCGAACCCTGAGTTGCAGCAATCCTCCCACCTTGGCCTCCCACAGTGCTAGGATTACAAGCATGAGCCACCATGCCTGGATAAAATAGTCTTAAAAAAAACAAGAGCCAGAACAACATAGCAAGACCCGGCCTCTCCAAAAAAAAAAAAAGAAAAAAAAAAATCAGCTAGTCACGATGGTGCACACCTACAGTCCCAGCTACTCTGGAGACTGAGGCAGGAGGACCGCTTGAGCCCAGGAATTCAAGGCTGCAGTGAGCTGTAGTGAAGCCACTGCACTCCAGCCTGGGTGAGACCCTGTCTCAAAACAAACAAACAAACACACACTGAAGACCCGGTCTGGTGCAGATAAAGTGCTTTTAAGAGCATTTAAAAAAATTATTAGGTAGCTGTTGCTCCATTGATTAATATTGCTATAGGGAGACAGAAATGACTTCGGGAGTTTTGCAGGGCTTTGCCCTGAAGGAATGTGTGAACACGTGTTAGCTCACATATCAAAAGCTACCGCGCCTCAGGAGGGCATCCCACAGGCCAGTACCAGCTGCTTTCTAAGACGACGCTGCGCCTCGAACCTGTCCACTTTCGCCTGTTTCGTACGACAAAGCAGGCGTGCACGGAGCCACAGGATGAGAGCCGATCAAAGGGTGCCCGCCCGACAGACAGACAGACGCCTGCAGCCAAAGGCAACTAGCCCAAGGGACAGTTCCTGCTTCACTCCTCACCGCCTGTCTCAATCCACAAAAACTAGATGAAGAAACATAGAGCCACTAGATTCCTGTTTAACCTTTCTGCTAAGTGATAGCTTTATCTTAGAACTCAGAAGTTTGTCAGAAAGATTTTGTGACCATTTGCTCATGTAGACAGAGTTAATTAGGGGATCTCTAGAAGCTTTGGGGGGAGACTTTTATCCTAAAACGAACTACGTAACTCTGTTGCCCCTGGAAACCGATCACTGTACCAGTAAACACTGATGTGAAGCTTTACTCGGGGCCTCCCAACTCACAGGAATGCTGGAGGTCTCCCGATTCCCCAACTTTTATAAAAAAAAACTGTACTTTCATCTCTGCGTATTCTTTTATTTCTCTATTCGATTATTTTCTATTTTCTGTCATTTCCTTATCTCTTGTGACGACCCCTGCCAAAGGGGCCCAATTTTTGCTGGGAGCGTAGCTAACTCCCCGCAGGTAGCTCAAGAGGCAAGCGAGTCACGTGATTTATTCGGAAAGGAAACACCTCTCCCATCACATGAGACTTTCAAATGGTGGAAAAACCGGCAGAGGATTTGGAAGCACATTGCATTTCATCCCTTTTGGGCCAGTTCTCCTGTGCATGCGTGTGTGTGTGTGCGTGTGTGTGCATGTGTGCGCATGTGTATGCACGCATGTGTGTGCATGTGTGCATGTATGTGTGTGCATGTGTATGCACGCATGTGTGTGCATGTGTGTGCGTGTGTGTCTGTACAACGCCTCTGGGTCTGAGCTTTTACTGCACTTTCCTGTTGGCTTCCAGTTGCCCCGCCAGTTCCGGGGAGGGCCCTGGGCCAGCAGCCGTCCACCCCCCTTCATAAAGGCCCAGCCCGGGGACAGCCCTGTCCTCCCCCTACTTCCCCTGCTCCTGCAGCAGCTGGAACCATGGGAGGTGTCTTTCTTGGTAAGAACTTCAGAACTTCCGGGTCCTGCCGGGAGGGGTGAGGCCCCCACAGCACCCCTTGGTCTTGGCGGAGAAACGGGAGGTGCTGCTGGTGGCTCCTGGACAGGCGGCAGAAGCCACATGTCACATTGGAAGAGGGGCTGGCAGCGCCTGGGCACCCGTGCGCCCCGGAAGGAACCCCAGGCTGCTCCCAGGGCCTGCTCCCCTGCCCTCATGGGTCTTTACGCTCCACTCTGCACCCAGTTGGTAGGCTGCCCCCCTAAGAGGGGAAACTGAGGCACGGGGGAAGGGAAAGAAGAAAAAGTGAGGTTGAGACTCCACAGGCAGCTGCTGTTAATACAGATCATGGAGAGGGGTGTCTGGGAGCTGGTGGCTGGCACCCCTTTACTGGAGGGTACCCCCAATTTGTGCCCAGTGTCTCAGTGGCAGGGGCACCCCAGAGACCCCCCCGTTCTTGCGCCTAGACAGGCCGGGCCTCAGGCTGTGGGTTTTGAACTTGACTTTCCTGTGACTTCCCCAAGCCTTTCCGGCGCGCGAGGGTGGCTCTAAGGGTTATCATCGGGCAGCGTCGTTGCCCCAGCAACGGGGCAACACACAGAGTGAAGAAATGACATTGGGGGGAAGCCAGGGCGCAGGGCCACGGTTCCCCTGTGCGGCCCGGGTGGCAGGTGTCAGCCCAGCGGCCCCTGGGCTCGGGGAGCGAGGGACAGGAGGCCAGGCCCCAGATGGAGGCGCGGCCGTGGCCTCAGGGCGAGGGTGGGGAGCCCCGCCCGCCCGGCCCGGGCAGAGGGGATGGGACACACGGAGGATCCCTGCCCCCGGGGCTGGGGCCCAGCCCTTCAATCCCACCTTCCTCTGCCTCCTCTGCTCACGAGATTCTTCCTGGTCTTTTTTTTTTTTTTAACCTCCTCTGGGTTCCAGGCCTCAGTTTCTCCATCTGTAGAATGGGCGTAAACACAGCCCCCACCTTTAAAGGAGTTACTGGAGGCTTTGGGAGCTGGAGCCTCGCAACCTCTGTCCCATCCTTTGAGGGACGGTCATTTTGTCGTGTGTCCTGCAAAGAGGAGCCGATCTCGCGGCAGGGACCAGCCGAGCCCTGTAGCCAAGCAGGAGGGAAGGGACCGGCGTGAGAAGGAAGGGGCGCGGTGCTGGACAGTGCAGGCGGCGGTGGGGGGTCCTGCCTCGCACGGCAGTTGACCGGCTCGGTCGGTAAGTCTGCACCCACCCCCCTCCTACGCTCACATGACCCCAGAGTCTGCTCAGATTCCAGGGAGTCCCCGCCGGGTCCAAGTGGGCGCTTGAGTGGCGCGCATCCTCCTGCCCAGAAGGATCATAGCCAGCCCGCCTCCGTCCCCTGGGCCCGGCACTCCATCCGGGATCCCTGGGTTACTGGGGTCCCCGCGGACTGCCAGCCCTGCCCCCACCTGCTGCTGAGTGCCGTCCCCTCCTCCTCCCTTCCCGGCTCCCACCCTCCCCCCCTCGTCCTTTCCCACCCTCACTCCACTTCCCTCTGTCCCGCCCCTCTGTCCCGCCCGCCTCCTGTCTCTGCCTGTCTCTCTTTCGAATCCTCCCGCCGCCGTGTCCCGCCCCTCTGTCCCGCCCGCCTCCTGTCTCTGCCTGTCTCTCTTTCGAATCCTTCATCTGTCTCTGTCTCTCTTGTCTCTTTCTACTTTCTCTCCGCCTCTGTCTCCCTGTCCCCTCTCTCTGGTGAACCGCAAGGACGTCCCCATCTCCGCAGCCCCTGACGACGAGGAGGGGCCCCCAGGACACGCCCTGGGAGGGGTGGCCCTGAGCCGCAGGGGGGGCGTTCCGCACCAACCCCCACAGGTGCCCGCGGCGGTGGGGCGGGGGAGCCCGGGGCAAAATGTCCCCACTGGGTCCCAGGCAGGACAGGACGTGCGGCTCTCGGGGCTGTGGGCACGGGGCGGGCACCTGTGTCCCTGAGGCCGGTGCCTGGGGCGTCCGAGAGAACCTGGCCCGACCCCTCACTTCTGCCTGAAGAAAGGTGACAGTCCGCGCTGGGACGCCCAGGCAGCTGGCCCGGGGCTGGTTCCCCCGCTGCACGGGGAGCGGACGCTGTGGTCAGCCCGTTCTACAGAAGGGGAGACTGAGGCCGACAGTGGGGGCGGACGTGAGCTAGGGCCACGCGGCTCCAGGCTGTCCTCTGAGCCGCCGCCCGCACGGCCCCAGGCTGGGACAGCCGCAGCCCGAGCGAGGCCACGCGGGCTCGGGGTCCCCTCCCCACTCCCCGTGCCCGAAAACCCGCGCCGAGGCGCCACGTCACTGACTCTCCTGTGGGCGGTGGGACTCGCCGACCGTCCCCTCGCCCTTTGAGCAGAGCATGGGCGTTGAGCCTGGGAGGGGCTGGGGCCCCTTCCCTCAGTGCGGCGCCCTCCGGCCTCCTTTCCCAGCCTCCTTTCCCGGCCTCCTTTCCCGGCCCTGGGTCCTCTCTGACGCCCTGTCCCTGTCGCAGCACTGTGTGTCCTGCTGGCTCTGTCGGAGGCCGAAGCCCAGGACGCCGGGGGTGAGTCTGCGCCGCGGTCCGCAGCCGGGAGGGCCCCGCCCCACCTCGCACCCGGCACCCCGACCCTCGGCCCAGGAGTGACAGGCCTCATTCAGGGTTACTCGGGCTGTCCCCCCCCCACCTGCCTCCTCTAGGGACTGCCTTGCCCCGCTGCCCGTCCTGGTGCCATGTCTCCTTCTGAGCCCGCCCTTGCCCCCGCCCCCGCAGGCTGTGACCGCTGGTGCCCCCCGAACGCCATGTGTGCCAACACCACTGCCTGTCGCTGCAAGCCGGGATTCAGCTCCTCGGGCGCAGAGATCTTCACCGACTTCATGGTGTCCTGCGACGGTACTGCGGCTTGGGGGCGGTGCAGGGCGCCTGGGACCCGATGAGGCCTTGCCCAGCGCCAGCGGGGGCCTGGGTGGTAGTTAGGGGCCGCGGCCCTTGGACTTGGGACTGTCGTCCTGGCCAGAGGAAAGAGAAGGGAAAAATAAACGAAGGTGGAGAGGTACGGAGCGAACAGGCATGGCTTCCC